TAAGAAATTCGAATTTTTTATTCGAATGATATATTTTAATAAAGCACTAAAAAATTGCTATCCCCTAAATGTTGCCACCCTAGGCAACGGACTACTCTGCCCATTGGGAAATCCGCCTCCGATACCGGCAAATACTGTTAGAAATCGGGCGAGTTTTATGTATATAAAATCTACGTTCTGCAAGTGCACAGCGCTGCGTTAAACGAGTATAAAATCAAATGCAAACGAGAAAATGTTGAGGATTTTAAACAATACTGTTTAGGTTTAAATTAAAAATCATGTAACAGAGGTTTGATACTCGACGTTGTTGAAACGAAATGATGATAGATACCGACGGCGAAAATATTGTGTGTACATTTAATTTTCGAAACTGTACGTTTGCGACTTTTGTAGTCTGCGACTGGGTAATAGAACGTTTGTTTTTTTATTTTTTTTTTTTCGTGGAATCCGACAAGAAACCCGCGTTTTTCGCGAAACTTCGACCCGGAGTGTTGGGTAACTGTTTGAATCCCGTGCCGTATTCGTCGCGTTTCCGATGTTTGAAACCGCTCCCGGCACTCCGCTGCGCACCTAAGGAGTCGAGAGAGTAAAACTAGCTGTCGTGAAATACGTGCGAAACGGCTGTAGAACGGTCCCCATTCACGGTGAACGTAAAGTCGAACGAGAAATCGGACAACAACGAGTACGTATTTTTTTTGTCATCAACACGCGGACGGACAATCGGATCCCAACGGGTTTCGATACGACGCCGATAGCCTTACGGGTGTGCACGAGGTGCCGTTCCAAAACCGACATGATATTCATATGATCTTTACGTGCATTGTGAACGCAGACGCTCACGCGTTGACGCTGGTTTACACGCACTGAACACAATGCGTATCGGTCGCGTTTGTTTTCCGACGTGTATATATTTATACACGCGCGCGCAAGTGTACAAAAGGACCACGAAAAATTTGAATACGACCGCAACCAAAGGTCAGGGAACACACTCGGCATTTATAAACGCACACGACGAAAACAACAATGCTCGGATGAAGAAAAAATAATAAAAAAAAAAAAAAAAAAAAAAAAAAAAAAAACGTAAATAAAAAAACTAAACGTGTCGCGGCTTATATTGTTCAAATGGAAACCCTTTGTCGTTCGTTTGTGTTTCGTGCGCGCGTTTCTGGTGGGCGGTAGCGTTGTGATAATAATAACAGTAATACAATAAAAAGCACCGGTAACCTAACCCCGGTGGGGGAGTCCCATTACATGTAGGTACTGTTGCCCGTCGGTCTGCGACGAAAACGGAAAAGACGAGTGCGTTTTTATCCGTGTCGCATGCGACATATCTCGGACACGACGAATCGCCCGTGGACGCGCAATGTTGACGTTGACGAAAACCATAACAGGTCGAAACGGTCCTCGTCCTGAGGACATCTCTGTGTGTGAACGACGAAATCCCTCGCGGTGCAACGGGTCGGCCGATCGGGACGTCGACCGGGACGGCTCGTTCGGGTGTTGCGAACGTGGATCATCGCGAACGTTTTACGAAACGATACTAACAACGACCAATGTCTTGTACAAAGTCCGTCGTTGGACCGACGGTCATACCGGTGGTTTGACCATCGATTTATTTCGACCCCCCCCTCTTCCAAATCAACAATGTATAAGTGTGCAATACACGCTTAACTGATTCGTACAAACGTTTCGTTTGTATAAATCAAACCGTTGATTCTAGCCGATTTCGACATTTTTCTTTTATTTAATCGATAAAAAACATGAAATAATTTTAAGTAAATACAAAATCACCCTACAGGTGCACACAACAGTAATGGCGTGTTTTAAACGTAAGAACGCAACTCGGAACAGCCGTGGTCCGCGGTCGGATGTTTCGTTGCCGAATCCGAAGTGAAATGATTCTTCAGTTATGTTGAGTTTTATTTGCAGCAGCAGCACTACCGAAAACAAACGAACATGTTTAAGTCGTTATCATACTTGTTAGACGATTTAATTCGATTCGGTTACACGTGTGTTTGCATTTGCACTTAATTTATTAAAGTATCTCCGGGCGGCGTGACGAGTACTCTCGTTGCATCTGCCCATACCTTCAACAAAAACAAGTCACTAAAACAAACGGTTTCCCTGAGAACTTGGACGATATAACCACCATAATTACTCGTGTTTATCGTACACGAGTACCAACAGGTGGAAATACTATCGGGGGGGGGGGGGGGCAATTTAAAACCCAATTTATGTTCTAATAATTCAGTTGTCAATTGCCTGTTTGAAGTTGGCACTTTCTTTGATAAAATTATTTTCACGTCAAACAAATATTGTTTGTGTCTGTTCCGAATTCGTATGATTTCCTACAAAAATTGTTTTATTTGACTCCTGTGAAAAATGTCAGGGATTTGAACCGCAACCAAAAGAATTGGTTTTGGACCAAACCCAACCATTTGAATATTGAGCACCGTATACAAACTCTAAATTTAATTAATTTTTAAAACTAGGATCTTGCTAGAACTATTATTAGAATTTATTTAAAAACCAGAACATCACCGGAATCGATACAATACTGTAAAGTTGTAAAGTTCGATAAATGATTTACGTTTTAAGGTTCAGCTCATAAAACACGGGAAACAAGTATATTCGATTTTTGTCCGTACAGTCTTATCGGAGGACTTCGCGCTCGAGCACTAATCTAGGTTAGTCCCGTACCATAGTGTGGTAATTTTTACGAAAAAACACGTATCACATGGACAAAACGAAGCGGAGCTGTGCTCAAATCCTTCACGAACCTCTACGGTCGGATAACTCATTATACTGAAATAATATTAATATGTAGATCATCGATAGCCTTACATCACAATACAATACAGTAAAAACTGTAAATTTTTTGTTGGTCTCATGCGATTCCGCTTTAGACAGTTTTCACTGTACCTTGCACGTTGTGTTGCCCGATTATCGGCGCATTTTCTGTTCGGGAAATAGAACGTACCTCTGATCTGGTAAAAGAATATTAAACCACAGGGTTTCTGGAATTGTAAGACAAAAATCATAATTAAGAAGATTTTTTCTTCTCTATTTTTCGGTGAATTAATAGTTCACGATTCGAAGAAAATCTTATATAATCAAAAATTAAATCATCTCCGATTTAGATTATTATATTTTTTAAATTTTATATAAAATATAATTCAGTTATATGTTGTGAGAATAGTGATTTTAATCAAAAAAAGTTATTTTAATTTATGTGTAACTATTTAAACAAGTATTAAATTAATAACAAATCATTTTAAATGACCAAATGAATAAAATGATTAAGATACTATACAATATTTATTTACCAGAACCATTAGATAAGATAATTACAACGTTCGTTAACAATAATATAAACAAATTATATAATTTGCTAAATCCAAATATTATATTCCATTCTGGATGTTAATTTGTCCGTTTAAACATATATATTGCAACAAAATAAACATAAAACATACATAATACATAGTATATAATATAATATAATAACAAATGTATATGTCATGTTGTATTATTATACTGTATCATGTTCTGTCTAACATGAAGTGACTCTAATGACAGGACTTTTCTTAAAAAAATTAACCGATTGTATATTGTCGTGTATAGTTTTGAGCATTCATACGAATTGTATGTATTCCAATTTCGTATTGGTATTTTTTATTTTTTAAAATTTTAATAAGCCTCGATATCTCGAATTTTTCCCGTTCCCCTTGAGAGTCGATACAGCGAGAGTTTGCTGTACACTTACGGTTGCGATGCGACGGGATTAATGCGCGAACTGTGCACGTAAAACGCTTTTTATTCCGATCTATTGCGTTTGAGGAATTGATCAAATTTCAGACGCACCATACACACACACACACACACACACACAACTGATATACGTATATACGTGTACCGTACACTTTGTCCGGTAAATTTATGTGCATTCGAGATCGGCCGCGAGTTTAATTTGCCGGAACCAACAATTGCGGCTGCAATGGTGATAAGAGATTGCGTTTCCGCGGAGAGGCAATCGCGTTAAAAACCGAACATGTGGTCACGGGCCAATGCATCAAAATCACGGGTGCCCCGCTGCCCGACCGCCCCCGACCACAATGCCCGTAAACCGCCGTGGACCGGGGAGGGATGGGGTATCCCTTTTTAGCTAATCCCGAACACCGGTGAAAGATGTGTTAATCCGATTAAAAGCCCGGCCCGGACGTTGCCACAGCTTCCCCTTGCCCGGTGCCGCCGAACACGCGTTTCCCACCTCGACGGGCGCGCAAACGATTCTTCCGGTCCGCCGATTTATTGCCCGCGAACAAAACCAGCGGTTTTCAGTAATGTGATTAGCTAATAAAAAAAGAGTGCGTGCGACTCGTCGAAAAAAAATAAATACTCGTATACGTATATAAACCATTCCAGTCCCAGTAATACGAAGCGTGCATAGATTCGAATGCTTTTCCTTTCCTCCTTTTTTTTTTTTTTTTTTTTTCAACCCCCTCCCCTCACGGAGTTCGAGTTATACGCGCGTAAAACATACTTCCGTGTAATGATGTCGTCGACTGGTGACGGTCAACGAATATTGTACACGTGCGTTATGTATCGTCAGCGATCGCAATCGGTCACGTTCCGGCCGCCGAGGCTTTGACCGGTAAACAAACTTCGTAATCGCACGAAGTCGCGATCTTGATCTGCGACTCGGTTCGAATCGCAATTTTACCGCTTTAGTTGTATCACGCGTATTAAACAAACCGCGGAAAAGCTTACGCTCGCAGTTCAGCGTCTGTTGCCCGATCGGCGTGTGCGTAGGGTTTATGGGATCGTAACAAACACATCAGCCGTACACTTGAAAGCACTCTTTGTTGTGTTGCGCAGTGCAACTATGCGTTAAACTATGCGTTGCACTAACCAGGATCGTGTGTTTGCAGTATTATCAACTGCGTTCAAAGCGCCGGTATTCATATTGATCGTATTTTTTTTATTTTTTTTTCGTTCAGGTTATACACTCCTTTAGTGTTTCGCAACGGTCGGAGGGTGGACGTACGATAGTAATAATAACGATAATACGACAATAAAACGAAGAACAAACGTTGGTTCATCGATCGTCAACTCAAAAGCTACTGTGTGTAAAAACAACACGGGCATCGCGCCGCGGAGTAAAAGGTGTTCGTGCGGTATTCGACGTCGAAGCCACCGAACCCAACCGGCGAAGGAGAACGAACGAGGGGCAAAAAAAAAAAAAAAAATAAACTCCTATGTAATACTTTATCGCTGAAAAATATTTAAATAGTGTTCATGCAAAGTAAAATGTGCGTATATTTATCGTACGATTTGCATTTTATTGGCAACCTGCATCTCCTCCGAAAGTCTGCAACGAACAGTAGGTAACCGTTTTCCTTCCAACAAAGTCAACCGCGGTGCTTTGCTGGTGTTAACAAATGTTTTTTATTATTTTTTTTTTTTTCTAACAAATACACTACAGCACGTTGTCTATAGATTTTCATACAGTTGGATTACATTTTCGAATAGAATTTGGTCCAATTGGCGTTCAGATATTTGTTTCACATTATTAATAATTCACAAATTAGAAACCAATTTTATTCGTAATATTATTATACTGTCATAAAATATTTTTGTGTCGTTGGATATGGTTCGATTAATGCCTGCTCGATATTTTGGAAATCAATCATAATGCGCAATATTATAATTTAAATGTTTAGAAAATATTCAAATTATATTTCTGAATAAATAGTTACAAATACTTCAGCAATAACGGCTAGTTAAAAATGCCCCAAGAACATAACACTACGTAGTACAAGAAACATGTTATAACGCGATATTATATAAAAATAATATTATAATATCGGTCCATTTACGAATGGAAAATCATACGAGTAAGTATTCCTAATATTATAGTCTGTATTAAATATAAAAACAACGGTGATATTATTATAATTTTATGAAACGTACTAACTATACTATACACAATCAGTGGTGTAACGAATTTTTTTTCTTGGAGGATACGTAAAATAATGTAAACAAAATCGTATCATTATTAAAATTTTATTCTTAATCACAAACGAATACTACTGGAGTTTTTTTCTCGTGTAAGCGTCAACGAACTGAAAGAAACACGATTACGTTTCGTCTGTTTCAATAAAAATGAAATAATCTAAAATAGAGATTAATTTATATATTATGTACTAATAGTACACAAGTTAAAGTTCCCTAGAGAGTTTTAATATTGCATTGAGCAATAAAGTTAAATGTTCACTTGTATTATAAACCCATAACAGACTTGTGGAAATCGCTATTTTATACAGCAGTATTGCACAGTCGGGCTCGTTACAGGATTTACATTACATACACGCCAAAGACCAAACATACTTTTTATAAGCCATATAACTTAATAGCTTATAGCTTATGGGTGATTTTACCCCCAACAAAGCTTTAGTATAACCATTAGGAGTAGGATACGAAAAAATGAGGAAATTAAAATGTTATCATTGACAGAATTTCACAAGTACTCAAATAAACATTAACTTTATTGAAATGTCAGTAGTTGTTGATTTATTTATGAAAAGTTCGTACATTACAATACACATGTGCGTGCACATAATGGTATTGACCGTTAACGTTTTTCTTAGTTAAATATTTGTCCAACAGTAAGATAATGTTTCGTTATCGAGTAATAATATTAAACATAGAATTTTTCGTTCGGTGCACACGTCTATCGCAGTCAATACGGTTTTCGTTGCTCTAATACAGAGGTCGGCAACCTTTTGAACCACGCTGGCCATATTTTTTTTTTCAAATGTTTATCAAGGGCCACATTAAAAAAAAAATTTTTTACATATGATATATACTAATAATTGTATTGTTATTATATTTGATTATTTTATATAGAAATTTGAGTGTAAAAAATACGAACGTTACTGGAAAAAATTGGTTTTAAGAAAAAATTTAATTTTTTGACAAATTAAACATAATGGCTTACCTTTGTTTTCGACGAAAAAGTATAAATCAACCCAAGAATTATTAAAAAAAAACGATGTTCATTACAAATTTTTCTTTTTTTAGTCGCCATAATTTACTTGTAAAATGAAATTGTTACAAACGCAAACAGTCACACGTACGGGCGTAATCACGGTGTAATACTAATCGCTACAAACGCAAAGTAACTATGACCATAGATTAAATATATAAAACACGTATGTATTAAATACATAGGTTAAATATATTTAAAATTTTAATTTTTAAATATATATAAGTATATTTAATTTATCCTATGACTGAGTAGTGCAGCCATCATTATCTTCAACTCCGATCAGATAATAATAACAATTTTATAGATTAAACTGACTATATAACTACATAGAATAAACGACAACTATTAACGGTTAGATTAGGTTTTATTAACAAAGAAAAAATAATTGAATAGTATTGAAAATTTTATGGAAATTTTATTGAACAAAAACAAAACACAAAAATTAACCACCTTTGTTCGGGCCATAAAAAATTGCTTCGCGGGCCACATGCGGCCCGCGGGCCGCGAGTTGCCGACCCTTAACTAATATAATAACGCGGAGTGTACGTTGTTACAATATATACGGTCGTGGAAAACAAAATATTTGTACTCGAGGTACTTAACCGAATGAGAATTGCGAGAACCGAGCAGTACGTATGGGTACACTGTACCGAATCTCGTCGTAACCGATGCGTGAAGATGTACACGGTATTTTCTCGTTCTTCGCGATGTTGTTGGTTTTCTAACCGTTTTTGTACCTCGAGTCCGTCTAAGGACAATAACGTACAACGTCTTGTGCCGCTGACGCCCTTCTACTCGATCTTACGTTTTCCTGTATCGAACTGAACGTGGATGTATTTTCAAACACGATACCAAATAACGTATTGTTACACAAGAGAATTCGTTTTTTTCCCGAAACGGTATTTTCCGAATATGATTTGCAAACGATTAGATTTGCACTTCTCGTTTGGTGCAAAAGTAAATTGATTGGATTCGAAACTTATTAGCGGAGATTCATTTCATTAATCTAAAAAAAAAAAAAAAAAAAGCAAGAGATTAGCTAAATAATAGGTTTATATATATATATAGTGAGTTAGCAAGTAGACCATGTTTATGAATTAAAGCTAAAAATCTTCCCCGAAGAAATAATAACAATAGTATTAGTAGCGAATATGTTTTTCTTTAGCGGTTCAAGAAAATAAAATAAAATAAAACAAAAATCCTATAGCAATTTTTGCTAAAAGCTTCTCAAGTGTCACTCGAACGGGACGTCCAAGTGGATATTTTATTGGAAATATTCAAATACAGACCTCTTTGCGAACTGTTTGTATTCGAGGTTATACATATATTCTTTCTGTATCATTCAACCGATCCCTGTTCGCATATTTTATACTCGCGCGCCGAGACACTTCGGTACACATGCTTTTAAAACGCGATTCGAATCAGCTCTGCCCGTATCGTTGAGATGCTATATGGTATACAATACGCATTACGCACCGGTTGAATATCGCACCTAAGTGTTTTCGTGCACGCCAAAGGAGTGGCGGTTTTTATCACTCGCCAATAGGGGGGACTACTTAAATTTAAAAAATGTAGCTAGTCGTATGGGTCTATATATAATTTTAATTCACAGAATATGTCACTCGGAAGTAAATAATTCTTTTTTTATTTTAATGTATTTGTTTCACAATGACGATATTTAATTATAACTGTTGATTTATCATAATTTTTATAATACTTAACATAGAAAAATAAACAGCTCAGCTCCAAGAGGGGAGGGATGTTGCCCTCTTAGACACCCCCTTAAACCCGCCCCCGCGTCGAAGCGATGTACTGCTCCAATGATGCGTTTGCCGTGATAAAGTTCGTCACTCTATGTTCTCGAGTAGTAAAAAAATAATATAGAGGAAATCGGTAGGTACTGTGATTTTATATGATTATCTAATGCCCAAAACCTAAATTTGTGTCTCGTATTATATTTGTGTTTATAGTCAACAAATGCAATCGTATTTTCGCAAGGCTCGACCATACATTTGGTCTCTCATTGGCCCCGCCTAATGAAATATTTTGGGGCTTTCATCGGATCATTTGGATTTCTCGAGATGGTATTGCTAGAATATCTTTGGAAAGCCCTCTTCATAGTGATTGGCCGTATTTATTTGTTTTTTTTTTTTTTTTGCTCAACAAATTTCTTGTTGTTATGGAACCCGGAAACGATTATGTTAAATGTTTTAAAAATTCTCAAGCTATTGTTGTTTCTGAGAATCAATATAAATCGCAGCTACATTTGTCTTGTCCGCATAATTATCATATTCTATTATATCAATCTTTCAAACGACTGTATAATATTTTCTTGATATTTTTCGCGAACAATCAACGTCATACACGATGGAAGCCATTTGTCAACGTGTTTGCCTACACGTGTTTGGAAATTGCCGTTGGGGGAACGAAAACCAATTTTTGGACGTCAACTACACTCGCAGATTTTTTTCGGAAATGCTGTCTCTGTGAAGCCAAACGATCGTACTCGAAGATGGCGCGATGTATAAGTACGTATGGACGTTGATTTTATTGAAATGGTTCGAACGAGAGGCGAAGAGTTGGTTTTTTCCGAACCGAACTTTGATTACGTTTCATCGGAATTGTTGAAACGACAGTTAATACTACGTTTATGCGTGTATAGGATGCGAAGCGTACGTCCACAAGGAATGCTTTTTAGTGGATCTTTGCAAAGAAGATGACGCTAAAAGAACCAAGGTCGGCAGTCCCCGTAGAGCGGACGCAAAAGAATTTATGGACACCACTAACGTAGAGGTCGACGACAGAGAAGAAGAGACACACGATTGTATTATAAAACGCCGCAAAAGATCCGGTTCGCAAAACGCCAAAGTGAGTAAAAAATATCGACGAATAAGCCCTTTATGATTGAGGTCGAATGTTTCTTACGATTTGGAGTTTTTATGATCATCACATGGCATCTGTAGCGATTACGACAGTTAGTTTTTGTGATATCAGAGCGTCAGTGTGACGAACGATTGCAAACGTTTTACCATTTTTATAACACTATTGCGAACGAAGGCAAGTTTATATTCTTCTAGATATGTAAATATTTCTGAATTTTATTTT